CACGGCTCAGCCCTGTTGCTCTGTCTGCAACCAAACACCCCAAATTTTCTGCTCACATCCTCCAGGAAATGTCTCCATGGGTCAGGGTGACCCCTGCAGTGGTGGTGAGTCCCACAAGAGAAGTGGACGATGGGTTGGCTAGGGAGATGGCGCTCTCTGGCTGCATCTACACTGCAGAGTTAATGCACTTTGGCACCACTTTAACTGCCATGGCTCCATGCTATGGAAGTCTGGGGTTTGTAGCTTTGTGAGTGATTTGGCCTTCTCTATCAGAGAGCGCTGGTGGTGCAGCAAACTACAAATCCCAGGATTCCATAGGATGGAGCCATGGCTGTTAAAGCAGTGTCCAACTGCATTAATTCTACAGTGCGGCAGCAGCGTTTGTAACCCAAAGTATTACAAGGGACCTCTGTCTGTCTGAGGCCTGGGTTCAAATTCAGAGTTGTCCTTGGGAGGGGTGCATGCTGGTGGTGGGGGTGGGTGGGGCCAAAGGCAAAAAGGGGTGGAGCCATCCCAGCATATTTTAATTTAAAGTTCTTACTATTGCTAGCCATCTGCCTTTAGCAGACGCATCAGGACCTTTTTAAGAATGGAGAAAAATTGGGACAGACCCAACAGAACTAAGTACCTGAAGATGATCTCATAGGAAAGGGGGCAAAAATTGGGAAGGTTAGAGGGCCAGATTGGTCCTCCATCCCTGGCTTGTCTATTCTGTTTTGGGGGAAATAAATACATTCAATGCAAAAAGGGATAGTCCAGTGCTCTGTAAGAAAAGTGATATTTCTCCCCTCCTGTTCCACTGCAGAAAACCATCATGGTGTAGTGGTTTGAGTGTTGGACTCTGGAGGCCAAGGTTCGAATCCCCATTCGGTCATGAAAACACACTGGGTGACCTTGAGCAAGTCACACTCTCTCATCCTCAGAGGACAGCAATGGCAACCCCTCTCTGGAGAAACTTGCCAAGAAAACCCTGTGATAAGGTTGCCTTAGGGTTGCCATAAGTCATTGGAAAAGACTTGAAAGCAAACCACACACACGTTCCACTGCAGTCATCTTTTCTGTGTCTGAGATTCAGCCAAACAAACCATTTCCCCCAAAGGAATGCCTTGGGGCATGTACAAAGTGCTTGTCCATGCATGCACACCCTGGAGTAACTTCCGAAATAGTTGAGATCTGGGATTCCAAGGCAGGGAATAGTTGTGAGGTTTGGAGAAGATGGTCTGAAGGCCCTTTGCACTTCTTACCTTCCAGGTGCTGGACCATACCGCTGCAGCACTTGTGAGGCAGGAGGCCAGGATCCATCCACAGCCGCTGGCACCGCCTCAGAGAAACCCTACAAGTGTCACTTCTGTAGCTCAGCCTTTCGCTACAAAGGGAACCTTGCAAGCCATCGAACTTTGCATACAGGTGTGTATGGGCGTGTTTGCGCAGGTGTGTGTGTCTGGTTGCCTATCGACTTATGGCATAGCATTTTCCTAGGCAAGAAATATTCAGAGGTAGTTTTTGCCAGTTCCTTCCTCTGAAACAGAGCCTACAGCAGCTGGCGTTCGTTGGTGGTCTCCCATCCAGGGACTAACCAGGGCTGACCCTGCTTAGCTTCCAAGATCAGATGGGATCTGGTGCCTTGAGGGTATTTAATAATGGTCTGGTGTGTCAGCATTTGGGTTAAAATTACTGTTGGAGGTTTAGAGTCAGGACAAGGCAGCTAGGCACACAGCCTGGGGCTTTCTCCAAATCTAGGTGAAATGAAGAGATTATTCCTTCTCACAAATTTAGGGAAATGGGATACTGAATATGGTGTAGTGATTTGAACGTTGGACTAGGACCAGGGTTCAAATCCCAGCTCAGCCATGTAAACCCATTGAGTGTCCTTGGATGAGTCACACTCTCTCAGCCTCAGAGGATGGCAATGGCAAACCCCCTCTGAAGAAACTTGCCAAGAAAACCCTATAATAGGTTCACCTTAGGGTCACCATAAGTTGGAAATGACTCAAAGGCACAGAACAACAACAACAAACTTGCTTTGGGCCAGACGATGGGTGCAGAGCAGAGCAGAGGGTGAACCCTGGCACCACTACAACTGCAGGGGAAGGAGGAAGCTTACAAAGTAAATCCCTTGGAGAGCCTTTGCAGGTTGGATCTTTGTAAACTGAGAGCTGAAGAGTTGCACCCAGCCCTTTCTTCTTGCCTGGAGCTGAGCAACCCAAAAGTGGGGAATTTGCATCTCTCTGGAGATGACCCACAAAAACTGGAAACTCAGGCCCAGGATCTGAGATCTGGCAACCCTCCTTGGCTCCACAACTTCGCTGGTAGGTGACAGGAGGTGCAAAAGAAGGCAATATAGTCTAACCATAGGGAAGTGGAGATGGATATCTGCACAGGGGGATAGTGGGAGGCACCTGCTTCTTCCTTCAGTTTGGGGGCATCTGTGCACACACACACACACACACACACACACACCTTTTCCACAGTGTCCTATTGCTTCACCACATGCCACTTTCCATTTCCATTTAGGAGAGAAACCGTACCACTGCGGCATTTGTGGAGCGCAATTCAACCGACCCGCCAACCTCAAGACCCACCTGCGTATCCATTCTGGCGAAAAGCCGTACAAGTGTGAGACCTGTGGATCTCGTTTTGTACAGGTAAATAAGAGGGAGGCATCCAGGCAGCAAGAGAAGGAGATGGGCAAATGTTCAAAGGAACCCAGTATGGCGGGATTCGGCATAGGGCTGGAGAAAGAGGTGTCCAAAGGCTCAGGAAATCCCATCAGGAAGAACGGAGAGAGGTGTAAGGCTACCGCAAAATTCTGTCCAGTTTAGGATGAATGGGTTTGCACAGAAATGCATTCCCCGCCCCTTCAAACATATTTTTTGTATTTCTGCATCATGTTTGTTTCTGCACAGAAATGTATTGCATTTCTGCACAGAGGGTATATTTTCTGCACAGAAAAGCAACATGCATCTCTGCACAGAAAATTCCATTCCCGCACAGCACATAAAAAATATATTTTCTGCAACAGAAAAGCAATAGGTATTTTGGGACAGAAGAGTGCATATCTGCACAGAAAATGCCTTTTTGCTTGGAAAACATGTTTTCTGGTTAGAAAACACATGAATTTCTTCACCAAAATTACGTTTCTGGACAGAGCATGTTTTCTCTACTAAAAAAAGAGTACTTCATGCAGAAAGAGTGTATTCTGCAAATGCTGCTTTCTGCACAGAAATCTGCTCAAAATGACTATGTGTGAATTTTGCTCAGAGTAAGTCCTGAACTATGAAGATTCTTGCCAGTCCAGGATTTTTTCTTGAAATTCAGAAAACATGGGTCTTTTAAAAAACAAACATTTTTTCAAATATTTTGAAATATATTTTCCATCCCTATTTGCAACTCTACTGCTGGTTTGTTCCACAAATTATTCAGTTGGTCTAGGCTCAGTCATGAATCAGAATGGAAACTGAAGTCAAGAAGTCAGAAGATCTGTGCATAATTTGAATAATAATTCTGTGAATAATTGGTCAAAATGGAGTATGCAAGGGGGAAAGAAACCAGCAGTAGAATCTATTTGCACCATTGTAAATTGGGATGGAAAATATATTTGAAAATGTATGAAAAATTTCCAACCCCAACCCCCATGTTTACTGAGTTTTGAGAAACTCTGATAATCAAAATCTCGGAATAGCAAGAATCTTTGTAGTTTAGGACTTATTCTGTGCAAAGTTCATACACAGTTGTTTTGAGCAGATTTCTGTGCAGAAAGCAGCATTTTCTGTGCAAAAGACATGCTTTCTACATGGAGTACTCTTTTTTAGTACTCGGACTTTGACTTGGAAGGGCAGGTATGAAGGAACTACCGTACACAAGATCCTGAAGTGTCAAAATATATCATTGAATATTACATTTAGGGTTGTCCATGCTGTCGTATTTCTCATTGCTATGTATGGTTGTGAAAGCTGGACAGTGAAGAAAGCGGAAAGGAAGAGAACCATTCACTTTTAAATGTGGTGCTGGAGGAGTTTTGCAGATATCGTGGGTGGCTAGAGAAGACAAATAAATGGATCCAAGAGGAAATCAATCCTGGGCTCTCCCTAGAAGCTCAGACATCATGGGAAGACATGACTGTAATTTGGAGACATCATGGGAAGACATGACTCCTTGGGAAAGACAATACTGTTTGGTAAGGCAGAAGGCAGGAGGAAAAGAGGAAGACCGCAGGACAGATGGATAGTCTATCAAGGAAGCCACAGCCCTGAGCTGAGAGAGCGGAGCAAGGCGGCTGAGGATAGGGGGACTTGGAGGTCTCTCATTCATAGGGTCACCATAAATCCAAGTCTTATGGCAAAGCAAGCGCATTCTTTCATGCCTCCTGGACAACCGTCCTATTGAACGGCACTTCTCCCTTGCTTCCAGGTTGCCCATCTGAGGGCTCATGTCCTGATCCACACGGGAGAGAAGCCGTACCCATGCGGGACGTGCGGGACGCGCTTCCGTCACCTTCAGACTCTCAAAAGCCACATCCGCATCCACACGGGAGAGAAGCCTTATCATGTGAGTAAGGTGGGAGGGAGTATACTATCCCTCGAAAAGTCTTGCAAGTCACACTCTCTCGACCCAAAGGGAAGGCCCCCTGGGAACAAATCTTGCCACAAAAAAACCATGATAGGTTTGCCTTAGCGTTGCCATAGGTCGGAATCACCTTGAAGGCACACAACAACAAAAGGTTTGGTAAGGACAGTCCCTGGCAGCTACTCTCCAGTCATCTGTCTGCTGTCCAACCTGCCTGGGAATAGGCACCTTTTCACATAGACAGTACCGCCTAATGGTTAAGCAGCTGGAAATACTAGGGACCAGAACTCCTGGGCCCTCTGAACAGGACATGCAAGTTAGAAGAAAGATAGGGACCTCATTGCTAGGACTATTGAGTTGTCATTGTAGTACTTTGTGGTTGTTATTGTGTGCCTTCAAGTTGTTTCCAACTTATGGAGACCCTGAGGCAAACCTATCATGGACTGGGAATCGAACCCTGATGCCCAGAGTCATAGTCCAATGCTCAAACCACTATGCCATACTGGCCCTACCCATCCTACATCTGTGAAATTCATCTTTCCTGCTTAAATGCACTTGTTGTTGTTGTTGTTGTTGTTGTATGTTGTCAAATTGTTTCTGACTTCTGGCAATCCTAAGGTGAACCTATCATGGGGTTTTCTTGGCCAGATTTTTTCAGAGGTGGTTTGCCATTGCTATGAGGCTGAGAGAGTGTGAGTTGCCCAAGGTCACCCAGTGGATTTCCATGGCCCATAGAATCATAGAGCAGGAAGGGACTCCAAGGGTCATTCAGTCTAACCTCCTGCCATGCAGCCAGATTCGAACCCTGGTCTCCCAGCATCCTAGTCCAACACTGAAACCACTACACCACGGAGGAAGACCATTGTAGTTCTAGGTCCTGGTAGATGGTGATGGGATGTGTATATCTTCTCTGGGTATTTGAGCTTGCTGGGTGTAGAGGGAGGGTAGCTTATAACAGATTTTGCAGAACATTGGCCATGATCCCCACATGGTTGCCCACCCTTGTTTAAGAATTAGCAGGAAAATCCATACAAAACTTGGGAAGCCTCCAAGTAATGGAGTATAGCCACCAGAAAAAAGCCCAGGAGGGCCAGATTGGGATAGTCAGAGTGCCAGATCTGGACTTTTATTTCCTGAACTCCTTGGACAGGCCACCTCTTGACACAAATCTGTTCTCGACAGTGTGAGAAATGTAACGTGCGATTCCGTCACAAGAGTCAGCTCCGGCTTCATCTCCGGCAGAAACACGGCGCCGTCACCAACACCAAGATCCGCTACAAAGTGCTGGAAGGCACGTACGCTGCCCTCTGCTGAGCAGGGTGTCCATGATAGCCGAGGGTATGACTACGTTTCCCAAAGCGTCTTCCAAACCTGGGAATTCCAGGTTCAGATATTGGCAGAAAACATTCCCTCTGCCCTTTGCATTTTGTCCCTTTCAGTCGCTGGCAATTGAACTTCCATGTGTGGGATTCAGACAGTTTTGCAATTTCTGATGCCATGTGGTTTATTTCATGTGTTTTGCTTTTTACATCCAGAGAGTCTGGAAATGCAGCCGTCCCTCCAAAATTGAAAGCAAAGCAAAGCAGCTTCATTTATATACCGCTTCAT